CATGATGTCTTGACTATGATGCTAGATGGTAATGTGCCTTAGCTAGCTAGAGGGAGATGATGATGTTGATGATGAATGTGCATACACCAATACGAACGAGAGCAATCGATTGCAGTACAACAGCTGAGAGAGAGAGAGAGAGAGATGGATTATTATTATTTTTTTGGGATGGATTTGACACGGCAATTGATGAGAATGGATGATCAATATGGAGGCAGAGGTGGACCCATATACGTGGGATTAATAAGCAGCCACCATGATTGATTCATGTTGTGAGAGCTAATACGTCAAAAACAATGGAGTGTACAATCTTTCAGGACACTTGAAGAGGAACAAGAATAAGAAAAGAAAAGAAGAAACAAGGGAAGTCATATATATCTATACACATAGATATTCATTCTATTGTTGACTATTGTATCTGATATCTATTGCCTCACATTCATCACCAAGTTTAGTAGGTGTAGTAAAAGAAGAAATAAGTGAAGCTTTGAGTATGTCTAGTATTCTCTCTCAGTTGCCCCAACTTTCTTAGTTCAAAATGGAATCATTATGACTCTTTCTGAATAATGTACTCTCATAATCTTATACTTCCATTTCCATTTTTCATTATATATATATATATATATATGTACTCTATAGTCACATGCATATCTTAGCTGTGCATAAACTTCAAATGATTCATGTTTTTCATGGTTGAATTTTTTAACTACATCTTCCATTGCCAATAATAACAGTTTGATTCATAGTATCATTTAAGTGTGCTGATGAAGAAAGAGATAAAGGGAAGCCAGAATAATTAAGTTCATGAAACCAAAATTTTAAGTCCATCCCTACCTAAAGATAACAAGATTGGAATGATGCCATCTCCTTGGGTTTTTCACCAAATGAAAATTGCTGGTGAGATCCATTGATTACTCTGGTTCTTTTCATTATCTGTTCATGAGTTGCAAATGAGCACACATGTGAAGATTGATAATTGATAGCCAAATTCATCAACTATGATTAAGCAGCAGCACAAGTCAAAAGAACCAAGGTGTCCATCTTCATAAATCTTCAAGAGTGGGTTAATGTGATAATTGCCTAATAGCAGAAAGCTGTGAACCGTGCAGAAAGTCCACCAAAGCATGTTATAAGTATTTATTTATAACCTAACTCAACTACATCAATCACTATGCTTATAATTCTACCTTACCTTTTTGTAAAAGGGTGGACAAGAAAATTAAAAGGAAGATAAAAGTTTTAACAATATGGGTGGTACCTCGTTTTACAAGGAAGGTCAAGGTTCTTTTCTGGTTTAAGCCTTGCAAAGATGGTAGGTATAGGGATAATTGGACAAATTAACACAATTACTTGTCATTTTGCAGCTTAATAAATAAGAAAAAAGAAGTGTCAAGAATTTGTGCTCAATAGGACTAATTGGTAAGTGCAATTCCCTGAACTATGACATAAAAAGGCAAAAAAAGAAAAACACATTGCTAGCTGTGTCTGTTTGTTAATTTGTATGAATATCCAAAATGCATACACAAACATATTATCATCATTATATTCTGTCATGAAAACGTTGAGAAAATTAAAAGTTGATGGGGCTTTCTTTTCTCAGGCCTTCAATATGAGGTTTGACTCTTAGATATCTGTGTTCAAACCAAGTATCATGAGAGATAAAAAAATGGGTGGGAGAAGGCATGAAGTTGAAGATGCCATGCCACCTTCCCCCATTCTAATGGTCCACAAGCCTCTAACCCATTAGCTTTAACTAGCCAGTCCTACAATTCCCAAAGCTGGGCCCCTAAGGCCAGGTGATGCCATGAAGCCACTTGTAATTAGCCTAACCATCTGCACCATATCCAAGCGGATGACTTTCACTGCAAATTGCGATCCCAGGAAAAAATGTTAATATTAACACCTCCATCTTTACAGTCGAGATAACCCCAGGTATAAAACTACTTGCAATTGGCAAATGATGCAGTTTTTCTGTTGTGGAGATTGAAGTTGTACGAGTTAACTAGCTGATGTCTGTGTCCAGTGTCCACCATCGAACTCAACATGTGTAGAATTACCGATGAACACAAAATAAATCATTAATGGTGTAAAATGATGACATTTTGACAGCTTCATCTAACAATATGAGAGGACATGTCATCTGGTTTGCCTGAGAAACAGCTAACTAACAAAAGACCAAAGAATCCGTGGCACAAGGAAAGAGTGATAGACAGCTAGAAAATAAAAGAAGAAAAGAAAATTTACAATCCGGGGTTTTTAGTTGTCCATCAATTATTATATTACTGCTTGAATTGGCTATCTACCCCCAATTAATCTCATCTAGCTCATTAAGAGGATCCTTCCATAAAGGCTATATATATATATATATATCCATCTCATTGCCAGAAAAAGGTGATAAAGAAATTCAATAATGATCATGTAATTTGAAGATATCTTCTTCTCAAAAAGTATTTAGGTCCATGTGTAGAACATATGAATGGAATGCACGTAAAAGGATGAGAAGGAATAAAAATAATTCAATCTAGAGGAAAAAAGGATTAGGTAAAAGATCATAGTTTTAAACAAGGACAGGTCGGACTAAGGACACTATTTTGATGGCACATGGGAAATGCAAGATTAATTACTCTGAATCTCAAGTTGCATGGAGCCATGTCAGTAGGCTGTGGGGTTCTATCCATTTGGCAGATATTTTCATATGTGATACCTTGATGCATGCCAAACATGAGAGGAAACTAAAAACAAGACTAGGGATTAATCAACAATATGTTTAACTTAATACTTGTTTTCTATTGGCAATTTAATTGGGAGTCTTAACTTTGTTATTCAACATAAGAGAGTTATTAATTGAGTTGAGGGTGGAGAGGGACGTGGAGGCATAGAACCTTCCATCTTCTATCGGGCTTTTTCTTGCTCATTGATCAACATTTGGTTGCTTGCCTTTGCAATCATGAGTCCACCTGCCATCATTACAACCGAAAAGAAATCCCTCCCTCTTTTCTTCCTTTCTCTCATTTCCATAGCCACCAGCCCACCACATGATGCAAGTGTCATAAAACAACATAAACCAACTCTATTTATAGGAGCTTATATCCCCTATTTTCTCTCAACTTCCCCTCATCATTTTCAATATAACCTTACTTTTCCATCTTCTTTATCTTCTTCTCATTCATCGAATCAATTTTACTACTCCTTCAATAGAAAGAAATCATAGAAGGATGTGTAACAACATGGATTGGAGCCCAACCATCTCTGCTTCTTCAAAGAGAAGGCATAGATCAAAACAATCTAAAGTTCAAATTTACAGGCTTTCCAGGTATATAAATATTTCTACGCCTACTTTTTTCCGAGTGGTGTGTATATGCATGCATATATGTTACATATGGTTCTAACGCAAACAAATTTTTTTTTTTTTTTATGCAGGAAAAGATGCGAAGAGAAGGTGGAGAAAGACATGGAACTACTGAACTTGAAGCTCTACTTGGAGAACCAAAGTATTATTGAAGAGAATGAGAAGTTAAGGAAGAAAGCCAATCTTCTCCATCAAGAAAACTTAGCCTTAATGTCTGAGTTTCAGAAGAAGTTCCCTCATTTGGATCGTTTTTCCTCCACCCTTTTGCTTCTTCTGCGAAATCACTGATGGAGTTTATGAACGAATTATCTGCAATCCTTCCCTTCTCCCTATATATTCTCTTTCTAGTCTTTCTAAAGCTTTCCCCCTCCTTTTCTTTGGTGATGTATGTTAGGAATCTGGAGTAACATGATATTTTGCTTTTAACTCGAGTATTATTAAGATAAATGATGTAATTTCAAAGTTTCGCCAAAAATATTGATTAGTTTTGTACCACTATTTTGGCTTTTTTCCGCAAGGAAAAGTGGAATTAAAGGCAGAAATATAGGGTTAGAATGGAAGGGTCATGTCAGATGGTAAGGCCACAGATTTTTATCAGTTTCCAAAAGGGTAGGTTGATTCAGCAAATGAAACGAGTAATGCAGTTCTTCCATAAATGTTTCCGCGTATGGGATGGATAAAGGAGTAAATTCTGCTCTCTATCAGTATTATCGTATGATCGTCATTTTTAACTAGGCGGTTAAAAGAATTTTCCTGGTGGTAATCGTATTCCGATGACAGATTCATGGTTCTTTAGAGTCAAGAGTACTTACCATGTAGGCTAAGTATCCTTGCGGTTCTCCGAGTAGTATCCTGGTTGCAACTTGCCATGTTGTGTTTGACATCTAGTCAACACTCGCCATATAGTTTGCCTGACAAACGCGTTAGTTTTTGTGAAAACCTATCACATGTATATGGTTAGTTAAAGACCATCAACCATCCTAAAGCGCGGTATTCCTTATGTGATGATCGATCCATTTGGTAATCACCATTGGAGAAAACTTGCATTTAAGTATGTTACCTATGCTTTTGCCATGAAACTTTTGTTATGAATGCTTTGGCCGCAATCACGGTTTCTTTGCCATGGAGATTAAGCTTACTCTGGTAGGGCTTTAGTGTGAATGAGTCTGCTCAACATTGGAGGAGTCGTTTGGGTTGCTGATCTTCGAATGAGGTTTCGCCGAGTAAATGAGCGACAAAATCAATCTATAAACCCTGTTTTGTTTCGGCATTAGTTTTGGTTTTCTCGAATAACTAAGTTCAGTTTATCCCTGTGAAGAGAAATTAAGGATAAAAGATGAAGACCTCCAACCAACAAAGGCTCACCACTCTACCAACGTTCATAGATTCTCTAGCTTAAATCTTCGGGGACACTGCTTTTAAACGTAAGCCCTAAGCCCTTGCAGCTTCCCTGTTTTGCTCAAACCCCTTTGTTTTGTTTAGCGTCCAATCTGGCATCTTTGTCTCCCCTTATTGTCCTTGTATTTTCCTTTACATGTCAACAGCTCATGATTGCAATTTAACATTGTTCAAAGAAATCTTCAAGTTAATGTAGCATATCAGTCAAATAAGAAATTATAGTTGGACAAGAAAATCAGATTACATAATAAGCTACTCGGAAAACAAGAAATAAGATATTGAAAAGTGCAATAGGTGTTAACTAAATCTTTTTTCAAAAGAAAAGTTTGTAATTTAAATCCAACCAGAGAGAGGCTTAAGTCAAACCGGTGGGTTGACAAACTGAGCCGGCTCAACAAGGGAGAGGCTTTCATTATTATAGACACAGCTCAAGACATGATAACATTTGACTCTCAGGCTCCTTTCAGCCACTCTTAAACAAGCATGAGAGCAAAATGCTTTCCATTTGTTTAAAGGGTAGGTAACACAACGTTTTTCCCTGGTGAAAATCTTGTTTGTCGCTAATCCGTAAGCTTCCAGCCTGCCAAGTTATTTCCTTTCTGCAAAAGGTAAACAATAATGGCTATTGTTGTAAAAATAGCAGCTGGCCTAATTTAGCTCTCCAATGAAAGGATAGCGGTGGGCAATATTCCTTCAGGCACATTCAGTGGATTATAGTTGCGGTAGCTTCATAGCTTCTGGGCACGTTTGTCTGATAAATTGCAGATACGAAATGCAGCAAAACACATTGTGGCATTACCGATTACTGTCAGGGCAGCCTGAAGAGCCACCAATACCTACAACTCAATATTGGCAGAATGGATCAATACTCATGCCGTTCAAATCAAGCACACAAGCTCACAAGATAGAAATATTAGTCATCTGCAAAGCAGCCTATTCGCTAGTCAGGCTATGATCTTCTGATGCATACACTGAATTAGGCAGAACATATAGGAATGCGTAGCAAAAGTCATAACCTGAATGAAATGGGTAGAGGGTCAGAAGTTATTCTTTTATTATGGCTTTTATGAAAGATGAGACTAATTTATGGTGACTGATAAGACTATGCATAACAGCAATTTATCTGATACTATGATGCATATTTCTAGGTCATATTTCCTGGTAGATTCCAAATTCATTAGCCCCAAAGTTCAGGCACTATATTTATCCCGTGTAATGCGGGTCCAACACTACTAGGCAATAACAGAATTCCACCCTTCAAGAAGTATAAAATAGGTAAACTAGGTTATTTCCAAGTGATTTTTTTTATCAAACGTTATATTCACAAAAAGAGTGAGGCAAAGATGAGCTGGCTGTATTTATTTGCCATGTTTCTGGTTGCAGTAGTAATATATTTGTCTTTGGGTATGTGTGAAATTCTTAAATTTCTGGTTTCTCGATTGAAACATTCACAATTTTCAATGCAAATTTTTCTGTAATTTGTCTATTTGTAATCGTAATATAATACTTTCTTCATGATAGGTATTCAGGAGTTAAAACTACAGAAATAGACACTTGCCCGTGAATCAATGTAAGCCAAAAGTATCATCTGAGTGTTTCCTTACCAACACTTCCCTGTATCTCAATTAATTCAAACTTGTCTTTGCATGTTTCCATCTAAAGGACAAAGAAAGCAGAGAACCTTCTTACCTCAAGAGATTCAGAATTGTAAAAGAAATGCCATGTGCATGCACAAAATGCTCCACCGAGTAGAGGTACCTTAAACAAATGATTATATCGGGTGAAAACGGGAACTTAATTCATAGATGCTTGATAAGAAACTAAATCAGAATTCAGAAACCAGCAATAGCATATCACTCAAGTTAATGATATTGAGTTCAGAAAACAGGCATGACCCCATCCTCCGTAATGGGTAAATGGATCTAGTGGAAGGATTTCCCGACAAGAGTAAGGGGCAAAGTAGATCCTCTACTATTTTGATCTAATTCAACCTAAAGGAAGTCGGAAAAAAAGACATTGATGCACATGCTAAATCAGAAGGCAGTGCATTGTATGGTATACAAATTTGAAAAGAGATTCTTAAAGTGCAATCACACCTAAGAAATAATGTTTTCTGTAAACAAGTACATTATGTTGAATGCATCAAATAAGTCGTAATCAAGGCTACGCTTTGATTGGTTGAGAATTCTTATCAGAAACCTGTATTCAAAGAATGAATGCTGACTAAAGTGAAAAATTCAGCCGACAAGATTAGGCTAGCCCATATGCAACAAAGAAGCTATAGAACAGAATCACTGCATAAACCTAACTACCAAAAGAGAAAGGAGCTCATGCAAGCAAAATGCTTGCTTTTGAGTTAAACTGTAAACTTAATGAATTCAGAAAATAGATCTATTTGCAAAAACTCGGTACATTCTGGTTTCCAATCAACTACAGTCTTAATGATAGTATGAACACGTTGTCATAGTGAACCACTTTACAGCAGATTAACAAAACTGGTTCCATGACAAAGAACTTCATTGTATAGGCATCAATACAAGACTGATCTAAACAATGATAGACTAAACAAAAATACCAGAACTTACAAGGCTAAGAAGAACAACTCACCATACCCCAAGAGAGACCCTTCCATGATTCAAACCCAGATTTCTCTCCATATTTCCAAACCAAAGCCATTGCTGTAATCCTTTTGACAAGATAACCTCATTAACATAGCAACCAAGACGCAGACTGAACCATGATATCAGTTCAAAGTTCAAAAGGAATCACAACTATCTATACTGTTTTATCAAGTTGCGGCCTAATGCACATCCTTAAGAGGAATTATTACATAGCCCTTCCAACCATGTGAATTTTACATGGATGAATGCAGTTGAGGTGATAATTTTTAATGATATCTCACATCTTAATTTGTTTCGCAGAATTTCCCTTCCGTTATGCGCAACTAAACTAAGCTTGGATAATCCCATTAAAAACCATAAACACAAAAAAAAAAAACCAGTTTTTAGCAAACTACCCGTGAAAAAGAAAAATAGACCAAATTCGCAAAGACCCATCACATTTTAAAAAAAAAATCTTACAAAATACTGAAGCAAAAATCCTCACCATTCGACAACGCTGGAGACATGTATGGCCCATGTGGGCAGAGACAAGGCATTAGCGGGTTCGCTAAGCTGCAAAGAAGAACCCAGCAACAACGGCGGCAACTCGGAGGCCAAAGCGGGATCCACAAGCGCCAAAACCAGACCCGAACCGACTAGACCAACAACGGTTTCCTGGTTCCAAATTAAGCGGCGACCTGAAACCTTTCTGGTCAGATGCCTGGTTTTTTGAGGAATTTTGGGTTTATGAAGAGTTGGAGTGGAATGAGCTTGTTCGAAAATGGGTTTTGGGTAGCAGAGTAAGGTAGTTGTCGCCATTGCTGGAGATTTTGGCGGTGAGTATTTTAGTTGGTCGGATTCTTATTCTTTGGTAGACTTGTTAGTTCTAGTCGTTAATAACGACTCATTTGAGAAGTTTATTAAATGGTTGGGGCAGTTTTGGAGATAAGGTTTAGATGAGGCTGTGATTTGAAATTTGTGAAACTAATGAAATACTCATAATGGAATTTCTAACCTCCAAAACGGTAAATTCAATGTGTATAGTATATAGTAAAAAAATTGTTAAATAATTCATAAATTTTATTAGAAATAGACAAAACAGATTGACTAAGGTTTTATGATGGAAAATTTATTTATATTGGTATAAAATTCGATTTTAGGAATTAAATTTTAGAACAAGAAAAGAATGTATGCTTTTGAACAAGAAAGAAAATGTTAAAGAAAAGAGTTCCAAAATCCATACACTCTAAGTTTAAAAAATAGATACTCCATCTTAAAAGAATATTAATTATTAAATATATAAAATTAATTATTAAATTTTTTTAAAAAATATTTATTAATTTATTGACATGATAATATTTTTTGAACAATTTTATTTTTGAACATATCAAAAATTACAACATTATAAAAAAATTTATTTTTCATTTTTAATTTTTTCTCTTTAAAAAAAATCTTACCTCCTCCTCCGACCAGATCTAAAGTACCCTCTGCTGACGGAGCTTTCGTGCTCTCTCAAGGGAGTGCTAAGCTCTCCTTGAAGGGAGTCAGATTCGACGTTCCTCAGCATTGAAGAGTGCTAGATCTGATCATGAGATGACCAGTCGACGTAAGGGAGTACCATTGATCGGTTAATGTTTGAAAAAAAGAAAAATGTTGAAAGAAAGAGAGAAAGGTATTTTAGTTTTTTCATTTTTTCTATTAACAGGGTTAAAGTTTTTAGAGTGAAGTATCTATTTTTCAAATTAATAAACTTTCGATTAATTTTAATCAAAATTTAGAGAGTATTTGAATATTTCACCCTAAAATTTATCTGAAATCTTGGGCAAGGAAAGCATCCAAAGCATAACCCACTTTTTCTTCAAGTGGCTTCCATTTATGTAACCTGCTATGGAGAACCATGTTGCTTACATTTTACATTGACCTAAGCAAGGAGCATGGTACTCCAAATCACCTAATAGTAAAAACTTGATTCAGCAATATTAACGAAAAGAAAGAAAAATTCTACTTCCCGGTTAGTCATGAATGAACCCTACACTAAAGTACAAGAGATTTCCATTCTATTCTCAGGAGATGTTCTGAGGGTGCACTCCCTCTGTCCTACAATGATACCATTTTTCAACTCTGTTTCGCAGCAAATATCATGCATCGTATAAAGAATCGACAAACTCGCCAATTCAATGAACTCTTCATTGTCCGGTTATTCCTTTTTCTTTGCCCAAAGCATGACCAGAGAGAAGCCCATCAGAGACATGATTACTGTCTGCAAATCCAGGGAAACACAGAAAAAACAACAACTTGACATTTGTTATAATCTTACACGCGACACACAAAATGCTAATTAATATATAAAGCCAGAAAAGGGGCAGTTAAAGATTAAGTTATGAGCAATTCGTCTTCAACAGAACTAACTATTTGGAACTTCAAAGTAAGCAGAAAACGGTTGAGAAGATGGGGGTATGGAATGTAAAGCAATGAAACAAGTTTGTTCACCATTATGAATAACGAATCCATTCACTTAAGGAACCACCCTGGTGAGCAAATATTCCTTCTTCAGATTGTTCAAGCTACAACAAGCAAATAGGAACTCAATGCAAAAAGGGAACCCCTTCTTAACAGTCTCTTATGAAAGTATCCATCTTCAAACTGACACTGAAAGAAAAGTTTCCTAATCTTTTGGACAAAAAGTTAACATGATTTGCATTTGGTTCCTTTGTAAAGGGGCAATAAGGGGAAAAGATAACAAATTGACTTACAGAGATAGCTGGAGGCACACCCACAAGTGGATCTTGGAAGAACCTATTAGCAAGTGCAAGTGCCAGAAGACTGCTTTGCATTCCTGCAAAAGGAAACATATTAGCAATATTGCAAACTAACAACAACAGGGAAAAGAAAAAGAGTTCTCACCTGTCTCAAAGGATAGAGTTCTTTGCAATGCTTTCACATCAGGTGCCTTATGAAAAACAAAACCACTAAGGAAATAACCAGCAATAAATGCCGATAAATGGAATGCAACAATGAGCAATGAAACAGTTAAACCAAAAGGGGACAAAACCGAATTAATGTTAATAGCAAGTGGCGCTCCAACACAGAAAGCTGTATCAAGTACAGAAAGCGGAGGCAAAAAAGGCCTGATGGCTGCACAAAGATGAGGGAACAAACTGCAGAAAAATAAGAGAGATAAGAACTTCCTAAAAGATATCATTGCTTCACATATTTAACCGGGGTTAGAGCATCACCGATTCAGAAGCAACCCTGCTGCAATAGGTGCAATAACAATCTGCAGAATGCTAGAGACCATTCCCATGACATCAACTGGCAGTCTTTTTCCAATAAGCAGGAGAGACAACATTGGTGTAACAAAAACTGCAGTAGCAGTAGATAATGATGTCATAACGATACTTAAGGGAGCCAGTGGTGGATCTGTCAGAAAGGTAGCATAATTTGAGAGCTGGGCACCACTGACACAGGATACCAACATAATCCCTGCACCTGATTCACAGATCCACATTGTATAAACTCTCCAGATTCGAAGGTAAGATAGACAGAACTAATTTCTTATAGAATTGACCATAAAGATAGACATAAACCCACCTAAGGGAGTAGGAAGACGAAACACTGTCACGGCAATCATTCCAAAAATATATCCAAGTAGAGGCTTCATGAGAAATTGGCCAACATAACCAGCAAAAATAGCATCTGGTCTTTTGAATGCTTCAATGAAATTCTTCTCGCTGGAATTAACCCCCACTGCAAACATCAGAAACCCTAATGCAGGGGCATAATACCTAGAAAGCGATGAAATAACAAAAGCATAAGCTAAGATCAGTCCCAAAGTTGAATGTACTCATTGGATAGTGGAACTTTTTGTTGCATAAACTTTGTTGATTTATCACTTGCTTTAGGTTCTGGCCTCAAATAGTTGTAGTGTATCTTATACATAACTAAGAGAAAAGGAATGAATGAACTGAAATGATTTGAAAGGGATAGCTTAAGCAAACAGAAGTGGAAACTGAGCATGAAAATTCACACCTTCCACATTTATTGCCACCCTAAAGCAAATGCGTGAAAATGCATAGTGTGGACAACAAAGCCATACAAAGAATCAGCTAATGACCTGCTGGTAAACCATGTGAAAGAAGGCGGATAGACAAGAGCCAAAATTGTACTAGCAAGGACAACATGAGGCAGAATGGAATTGGATTGCTTCAAAATCTCCACTATAGAAGCCTTCCTCTGTTTAACCCTCTGAAACAACACATACACAAGAAGTACTATCAATTTTTGCCCAAAATTAATTGATAATGCCAAATGTCTACAAGTAAATCAATGACCATAAATTTACAACTTCGAGCATCAGTGCTAAGAAAACCCATACTTCATTTAACAGAATAAAAGTTATCAAATTTAGGATTTGGGCATCAAACCCAGTCTATGAAGTTTGACCTTAAAGTATTAGGTAACTTGAATAAAATTGTAGCAAATAGAAAAGCAGGAATACTCTTTGAACCAAGTATGACCATCCAACTACAATGATTGCCAGGAAGTTCAGTTTAGCCCAATTTTGAAAACTACTATAGCAGCAACATGAGCACCTGATTTGATTCGAGTCCATATTCCTGACCCGGATCCCTTTCAAAAGAACCTGAAAGTTTCTCTGATGCACATTTACACACCAAAGGTCTAGAGCTCCCAACTGCAAGATAGAACAGGCACACACAAAGAATGAAAAGAAAAGGCTTTGAAAGCATAACCCAGAGAATTAAGTGGCTAAATAAACGTAAATTAAAGGCCAAACAAGAAGAAAACTTACACTGAGAAATGGAACCGACAGGGACAGGAACATCGGAATTTAGTGGCAAAACTGGGAACTGAACTTGCTTTGGTAAATGAAAGCTACTGTTTTCCAAGTAAACATGATTGAATCGTGGGCGCTGGATCAAGAACTGACCGGTGATTGAACTCATTCTTGTTTTCAGCAATGAAAATGTTTTCCAGGCCTTTCCTCTGCTCTTGAAACTCTCCTCGGGAGTGACGTACGAAACATTTAACATGCCTTGCTGGCTTAAAAAGGAACGAACAATTAATAATTCACTATTTCTTTAATCGTAATTAGTATTATACTATTAATCACTGGAATTGGTTAGTTTCTTTCTTTCTTTTTTTAATTTTTAAATATGGAGAAAATCTTATTCTTTGGTTTTGTCTTTATTTTTGTTAGATTTTTTAAATAGGGGTAGGGTAGGCAGAGCGTAACTAACTCCCTTTCAAACTAAGGAAAAGCATATTAAAATATATAGTGATTCAGTTTACATGAAATTCTGTGTCTCCGTGTGGAAGTCAATTTATGTTAGTGTGATTTAGTCAAATTTTGAATGAAGGTTTGATTATTAAGGGATAGCTTTTTTTAGCCGTCGAAGATTAAAAAAATTTTTAAAAAAATTAATTTAAATTATTTTTAATCATAAAAGATTTTTAGATAAAATTACTTTTTATGATAATGTTTCATATTAAGTGCACGTGAAAAAAATATTATTACACATTATATTAAAAAAATTATTATCACATATCATGTTTAAAATATTATTACACATTATGTTAAAAAAAATTATTATATATTATATTGAAAAATTGTTATTACACATTTTATTACAAAAAAGTTTATTACATATCATGTTTTTGAAAAATTATTATATACTATATTAAAAAAAATTATTACACGTTATATCGAAAAAATATTATGTTTCACGTCATGTCTAAAATGTTGATACAAGCCATATTAAAAATATTATACACAAAAAAAAATTATTACATATCATATTAACAAAAATTATTACACGTTATGTTAAAAAAATATTATATTATCTCTTAAGACTTTCACAAATAATAAAAAATATCTATTAAACATTTTCTTTACAAAATCATTAAGAAGTGACATTAGGTTTTGGGATTCATAAACAAAATAATCTTACAGAACTTTTGAAAAAATTTTTATAAGATTTTACCAAATCAAAGATGGACAGAAGCAATCAAAACGTAAAAACTGTTTTCTTCCTTGCAATTCTTTTTTCATCTTCTTTTTTTTTTTCCACTTTCTGTTTATTTCAATTTTGCAGCAAATTTGATAAAATTGAAACCTTTTGTTTATTTAAAAATAGAAAAAAAGACTTGAATCCTTCCTTTTCTTTCCTCTACATCCAAAACTTAAAAACTATTTTATTCCTTACAGTTATTTTTCACCTTCTTTTCTTTTTTTTTTTTTACTTTCTCTTTATTTCAATTTTGCATCGAAATTGAAAAAAATTGAAACTTTTTGTTTATTTTAAGATAAATGGAAAAATCTTGAACCATTATTTTATTATTCTCTATTTAAATTGTTTTTATTATTAAAATTTTTGAAATAGATGATGAGCAAATAAAAAACATGGTTTAAACGCCATGAGAAAGTTGAAAGAGCAGAGAAAGTTCGATGGATAGTTTTCTAAATGGCATGAGAAAGAAATTAAGAGTATTTAATTTGTTTAAAAGCATTTTAAAAACCCTTTTGTCAAATTATGATAAAAATTGAATAAAAACAGCTAACATTATATTCAAAATTATTTTTGAAATGGACTTATCAATATCATTTCTCACAATTTCCTTTAAGATAAAGATTTCTTATTAGTGGGAATATATTAGGCAAAGTAAAAATTTAATCTTCATAAGCTAGTATTCATATGGGGGTCCAATGTCAATATGTGCTTGTATTTCTTTACAATAATTACCTGCCAATCAAAAAATATTTTTTTTTTCTTTTCTTTGAGACAAACTGTCAAGCCAGCGGCTTCCTTAATGAAAGAAAGAGATTTCTTTTTCCCTTAATATTCGAGGGGATGATCCTGCTGATGTGTTCATTCAAATTTTAACATGCATGATGCCGAGTTTTAAGCCTTTTAATCTTATCTATACCTTTGTTGAAATATTTGATGTTATGTTTTGTAGATTTTTATTTTTTTGGCAGGTAAACCAGTCGAAATTTTTTTTTTGAATTCACCTAAAAATTACATTAAATTAATCAAATTGACAGTATACGTATAAACTAACAGAAGAAACTTGACTGTGGGATATGAAAAACAAATAATATGAGTTAAAAGGGAGTCTACTGAAGAAGCAGAGGCAAATGTCAAGGGTTTGGAGCTTTAAGACTTGGAGATGGAAACTCTATGTATAAAAAATCTAAGTAATTCTAAAAAATCTAAGCATTAAAAAAATTTCAAAAAAGATTTTAGGATATTATTCCAAAGAGAAAAGTAAATGCGTAAATTCTAAGCAAATATCTTAAGATGCTATCTAAGTCTAAGATGCCTATTTATAAAGATTGTAGGTTCTAGAATTCTAATTAAATTCTACTTTTTAATTATTTAATATAATTATAGTAATTAATAAAAAATTTAAATGAAATACGTGTCTAAGCCTATTAGGAACACTCACTAACTTAAAATCTCAGTACAAGTAAAATAAATAACTAGAAAATCCTAAACACGTGTTCCAACCTTAGATTGGTTCCTCATCCATCAACTTCTATGCAGCATCTCCCTACGGCGGCTTCCTGCAGTGTGGCAACTTGAGTGTCATACAGGTTTTCTCTTGAGTTATGCAGCTTAGTTTTTGCTTTATCAATAACTCTTGACTTATGCGGCTTAGCTTTTGCTTTATCAATAACTCTTAAAAAAGCTAGCAGTCTACTCTATTAAAATAAATTAAAATCGTTTAAAGTAAACACAAGCGAGAAAGTAAGCTTTAAAAACAAAAAGATGATTCTTATTTCATATAAGTTCAATACATGAGTCATTAGTCTCAAGTGAAGGGGTTCAAAAGGTATTTACAGGCCACAAGTCCCCTAGAGCCGTTACAGGCCATTCTTAACAGCTAGGCAGTGTTTTGATCCATGCTAGGCCCTCCTGACACACTCTAGTTAGTATTCCTAATGGTAGGCAACGGTTGTCCCCTAAGCTCGGGCTAGACAGTGCTTCCCATGCATTAGGCGAGCTATTTGGACACTTTGTGCGCCGCCCAGCTACGTGCCAGTCTGCTTGCTGTGCCGTGCAGTGCATGCCAATCTACTTGCTTGGTTGCTACCGTCAATTTGCTCTCGAGTGCCACTGCTTTTGTGCCACAATGCTGTCTAGCTTCAAATTTGAGTCTCAACTCACGTTGCTCGTCCTGTCACGTCCTAGACTTAAGACACAACAAACGTCGTACAACTATAAAATATAACTTTATAAGCATATAAAGTTCAAAATACATATCTTGAGCAATTAATTAAAATAGATCAAATGTATTATAAAAAAAATAATTCTTAAATTAAAATATTAAAATAAAATTCTGAATAACAATTTAAGATAGTAAAAGTTCATAATATTTAAATAATCTTAAAGCAAATTAACACTATATGCTAATCTATGATATGTCACTCTTCGAAGTTTACCACATGTTTGATTAATAGTTCAGTAAGTAACTAACATCCCTTCAACCGGATTAAACATGCACAAAACATTTAAGTTAAAATTTTTTATTCTCATATAAATATCAAAAATAAAATTTTGAATAATCTTATTCAAATAACAACCATCTTAATTCTATTTTTTTATGTAATAGATAAAATATGATTTCACAATTATTGTAGATTTTACTGATCTTCCGGAACATATTATTATCATACTTAACCCTTATGGCATAGGTCATAATAATAACAGAAACCACAATTAACCCCAGTGGTATGGGTCATAAATATTACAATTAACCCTAGTGACATAGGTTATAAGTATATTAGAAGTAACTATTGGCTGCTCTGAACAGATATCAAAAGTATCACCATCTTGAAACCGATGGTGCAATTGGGAAATCGATCTCAAATCATATAATATATGTTGACATGACCAACTAACCCCTATTGGCAGAATCATATCATAGCCATACTAGGAGACAAAGCAAAATATATTTTTTGATTACCCATGTTCACAAACTGATATTACTCACTTTCACAAAACACATATTGTGCACATCAAAATTATATTTATTTCAAACTAAGTCTTTACATATGTATACATAAAATCACAAGGATAATTATATATGCATAGGTTAGACAAAACCATAGTCAAATTTCAAAATTATAAATTATACTTCGTAAAAATTTACATTTTAAAATCCAACATACGAAAATCTCATATATATATATATATATATACATTTTGCATGCTTAACTCGATTTTACAAATCATAAGACAAAACATATTATACATAATATATGAAATTCAATTTCACATTGAAGCTAATTTTTTTTTTTGGTATGAAAACACCAAAGGGATTCAATAACTTACTTGACTTTGTTAATTTCACTTTCAAGCAGCAAATCAAAAAATCCTCCTAGTTACCTAATATTTCAAGAAATATATACAAATATTAGAACCGTATTTACAAATAAATTTGACAAATGACTTTCCGTTGACCATCCTAAGCACTTAAGGTGTATAGCAACCTCTATTGCAATTTAAAAATATTTTCAAGTAAATAGAAAATATATTATTATTATTATTATTTGAGTTAATAAAAATCAAATAAAATTGAGAATTAAACCTTTATCATAAAATTAGTAAAGATTTTAATTTCTAACAGAAATATAATTTAATTTTAAGCTCAAGTTGTTATTAGTAGTAGACTTAGATTGTTATATAGGTCTTAACAATCATATTTATATCAGATGTGAGATGTTGGGTATCACAATCTCATTAACTCAAATCTTTGATGTCATCATCAAGGTTACACATCATATTTATAAGTCCAAGATCTCACCAGAATAATATGAAAGCTCACATCGGACTGATGTAGGCTCTGATATGTAACGATCTAAGTTTAATCACTGATTCAGTAATTTTTTAAACCTAAATAATATAACTTTAAAAAATTTAACTTCAAATTACTAATAATAAATTTAAATTATTATATAAATTTTAATAATTACGTTTATATCAAATGTAAATGCTAGGTATTACATGTCCACCGGGAATGCATAGT